AAAATGTAAGAATTAATAAATTGTAAAAGAAGAGCATTAACTTCAATATAGTTTTCATCAATTCAAAAGATATCCATCTCGGTGAACAATATAACTTGATATAATGCCAAAAGGAGAGCATATATCTATCCTTTTCATGTTCGACTTCAAATGTCCGTTCACGTTTTCCTATAGGACTTATCGACCACTACACACAATCCCGTAGGATACCGTAAATTTTGTTTATCAATGCTTAAACTATAATCACAACAGAAACAATTTATTCTCAATGAAGCGTTTTACATCGTTATGAATACCAGATATATTATATCTCAATATCATCTTAAACTTTGCTAAACAGTTCAATGAAAGCATTTCAATAATTTGATAGAAACTATTACTAGTTGATCTGCGATAGCTCTGACTTATCTAATTCATTCGTTTCCCTTCATTTAAATACTAATTTTTACATATTATATGCTAAGATCTGTTTGTATCGTCCATTTTTACCTGAAAGCTTACATATCTAGAAAAGTTTTTGGTTACTGAAAGGAATATTGCCCAGAAATATTTCACACTGATCCTCAAGTCGTGTTTTCTCCAACTACGAATCACTGATATCTCATCTCAACATTTTGCAGATTATGACTTGGTTACTAAACAGTAAGGGTTTACTTAAGGAAACTTAAAACGGTATGAGTGAACGTGAAGGTGCGACGACTATTAAACATACTGAGCATTGGAACCATATGGCTCCTACAATAAAACAAATCTGCTACTTTCATGATTTATAGGATACCCATGTAATTCCTTATCTTAGAAAAATAAATATAAAACCAAATGATAGAAGAAAAAAGGCTGAAGTTCAGTTAAACTGATGATAGAGGACCAACGAAGTATAGAGGAAGTAATCTACCACCTTTAACATTTTCTAACATGGAAACGGTTTCAAATGAAACATATAGGAAGAATATGCAAATTTATGACATAAACTAATTTTCCTAGTTTCTGTAAAGACCAGTAGTGTGAACTAACTTTGAAAAATCTAAATCCTTGTAACCATCACCTTCTGATTACATTCGCCAAGGAATGAATTCACTCCTGACATAATTGTTTGCGGTTACTAAGGCCCAGGATTTCGATAGTTGATTTATGCAAACGATTTATCTTAAATCTTACCGACATCTGGACACTACATAATAGGTAAGACCATTAACCTAGCGCATAAATATCTAAATGATTTCTGAACTGCAATCATTTAAGACCTCATATATGCAGCAAAGGAGTGAACAATAAAAGAGAATCCCGCATCTAAGTGATTATACTACCTTTGATTGAGAAACAAAAGCCAGAACTGATAAGTAAAGCAAAATGCTGATGACAGTTTAGACTTTTATTTCCACTCCTGTACCAATCAAATAAGTTTCAAAATATATGAGTATCATAATCAAGAAACTTTCTTTCGATAGAAAAAATATACTTGGCATTTATGAATTAATTAATGACCACTTAAGAGCGATTTTTTTCTAAATGAGTCACAAAAACACATGTATTTCTATTACTTAAGGTTTTTTGGTGAAACAGAAAAATCAATGAATAAATAGTTATGAAAACACTCAGGATAGATGAAATATCTACACCTATAAAAAGTAAGGCACATTGGTTATTCTTTACAATGGAATCGATATATAGCAAAAAACAGATGAATTAAAAGCGTAATATATCATCTTTTCATCAAAACGACAACAGTTTCAAACCTATAAATAAACAGTTAACTTCACGAGGAGAATATTGTTAGATGTTGGTTAAGCCATTTGATATTTTGCCAGTGAGCTTGACCTTGATAAACAGACAAAATCAACGTAAACCATCGCATACAAGAGCATAGGTTCGAATTGCCACATTGTACTGTAGTATACGAAGAACAAATCGATAGCAAAAGAGTGGTATCAAAGTAGACTAATGTGTATAGGAGGAAACGAAATTTGAAAATTTATGAAACCTTTCAAGCTTTAGAAGATATCAAAGAGTAAATATGACTATGCCTTTGTGACAATTAAAAACAATGTCATCAAGAGCTCTCACCTACTGATTCATATCGTCTTCGAGACGCCACCCAGACAGATTACATTTACAAAAGCGGCTGAGACTAACAGACAGGGACTTCATGTACTGTTGCCATGTCTTGACCTTGTCACTATGATCCCTATTCCAACCTAATACAACTTCCCCTAGCATAGTGCGTTGACGTAGGCAGTGGCTCAGCGTGCGCAGCACGTACCCAAGCCATCTCAGTTGATGAAGATTAATAACCTTGTCATAATCTACTTGTCTGTCTTGCCTAATACCCTTCGCATGACCTCTATATTGCTCACAAGGTGATTCCACCGAAGACACCTACGGTAAAAAACCCGTAGTCCTTTCAAATTTTAACGGGCATGTCTTACAGCCATATAACAAGACGGAACGGATTGCACTGCAGTATACTCGTTTTTTCATAGTTGGTTGGATATGTTGCCAGTCAGCGCCAAAGATGGCGTAAGTTGCCAAAAGCAAAACTAGCATTCTGTATCCCAGCTAAAATTTAGTCAGCAACCATCTCGTTGCAGCTGATGCAACTCCCTAAGTAAGAGAAGTGATCAACAGATCAGACCACTTCATTCCCTATCTTTAAATTATGAGTAGTTGCAAGCCAATCCCTGAGTATCATCTTTTGCAGGTGCAAAACGCATGAAAAATATTGACATAGATCTGTTTAACATATTCAGAAGACCCCACATTTTGTCAGCGTCTTCACCTAACAGGACAATGTCATTTGTGTACTACAAGTCAATTACCTGCTTTCCAGGGAATAGATCAATCCCTGTGAAGTCAGATATACCTAAGGTTAAGCCAGTGAGTACATCTATAACGAAATTGGACAAGAATGTTGACAGAAGGCATCCCGGCCGGATACCACTAGTTGAAGGCAATTCACATAACATCTCTCTACATGGACTGACACAGCTGCGAGACTTCGAGTAGATAGCTTTGTTCAGCGTCATAATACTTGCTCGGTACTCTCTTCACAATCAGACACTACCACAGCAACTCATGGTTGATAGAGGAGAATGCTGCTTTCAGGTCAAGAAGTGTGGCAAATATCGGTCGTCTGGAAATTTGTTTGTGTTTCGGAACCTGTCGAAAGGTGAAATCTAATCGATTTATCCTCGTACAGATCTGAAACCTGCCCGGTTCTCTAGATGGGTCCTGACCGGTACCCAGTGCAGAAGTGTACTATCTGCTCTACATCTTAATGCTATCCTTACACCAGCGAGTCCACGAGAGTTAACCACTAAGGCCTCAGATACTGGCAAGGTGAGTTTTAAAGATTCACTACCATGACCAGGTGAGGTCAGTTTAATAACCATATTCGGGTCCTGTATACATGTCTCAGAGACATACCAAACATCCATGGCTCAAAATTTCACAGTTCTGGCGAACGGTGCTTTTTGTTTGATTTGGCATAAAGTTTGGACGTTGAAGGCCTCAATATGAAACCAGTGACCGAGTCTCAGGAGATTAGGAATAAGGTTTCAGTGAACTTAATCGTTAGCAGTGGTCATAGAATAAGATGTTTGAGAAGGTGTAAGAGATTTAATATTGGTATCAGGAGATGAAGTCAAAGAAGATATTGTTGAGGAGGGTAGGTTATATTTGACTGTTTTGTGTACCAGTGGAAGTATCCGAGTGGTTGTCCTTTCTCGGTTGCCCCCACCGTTCAAAGCTAGTTCTTCTTAAGGTACCTGAAAGAGAAACAAATTTGCGTAACCGCAGAGTTCATAGAACATTTTCTTTGGGCCAATCACATACACGCGTTTGCAGGTTTGGTTTTTTTTAACGCAGGGTAGAGAAAACTCATACCGCCGGAACCGGAAGACCATAGGGCAGGGAAGAGTGGACTCTTTTTGAGGCCAACAGTTTTTAACGCACCTTTCTCGTAGAGAAGGTAGCATCAGTGTGGCACTGTTGGCCATCCATAGGAAACACCCAACTGCTGGCACATCCAATGCAGCCAGCAGTACGGAGTTGCCCTCGAACCCCCCTCATAGTGTAGCAATTTCTACTACAAACGTAACTACCTTTCGCCTGACAACTACCCAACAGGCCTCTCTGGCATGGCAGGACCTCAAGAGAACAAGCATTTCATCTAGTGTAGCTCGTTGGGCCACTGTGATACATACAAGCCCAACCACTACGCCAAGGTAGCAGCAATCGGTCAGGCTTGAGTTTGGATGAACGAAGCAGTTGGTCGGCGTTAAGACCAGATCGAATTGCTTCGAAAGCGCCACAAACTAGTGTAAGTGGTTTATTCCGTAGCATACTTCATATAGCTTTCTTAATTAATATCTTGTGATCAATAACGACGTCAGTCAGCCTATACTTTGAGTTTTCCTGAAAAAAACATGATGGAATTTCGCAAAAACGGCTGAGTGTAATCATGTCATTCTCAACAGGAGTATTTCAGTTAATTCATTTGAAAAGATGTCTGATGTTTATTGTGCTCTGTAAAAAAGGTTTGATGAACCGGTGATAATTAATCTACTTATTGTTCATCGCAATCAAGCTACCTTATTGATTATGAAAATGCAAAATATTAAGCTTAGAGGAGCTTTGAAACTGACTGCATGTCTACATAATTCACAAACAGCTTACTGAGCTTAGATAAGCATGTAGAAAGCCTAAGGGATGGACGTCTGGATTATGAGTTTGTAATGTATGCTGAAGGTAAGGTGCTTGGGTAATCTAGTCTACTACGGTTTCATAATAACTGGATATTTTTTAGCACAAAACAGTCTGGGTTGCAGATGATGACATTCATGTGCATACAGTCTAAATTGACAAGTGATTAAAGTAATAAAACAAGACGTCATCAAGAAGCAGACGACATCATTAAACTTAGCCGTCAAATTCTCATACAAGTCTGCAACACATAATTTCGAACATGAAAGAACCACCTTAGAACGATCACAAGAACTTACTTCTCGTTTTCCACTTAGTGCTGTATCATCGTTAGAATTAATAATCAATCCAGATCCAATATTATTACCAGCCAAGTTATGATGTGAAATTGTATGACTCTCAATCGCTAAATGACCTTCAGAAAAGTCTTCTCTTTGACTTGCAGTTCTTAATAAACCAGTGTGTGGTAAATTCGCTTCTTGAGCACGATGTCCACGAGGCAGTGTTGCACTCATATTAGCAATTACATTCGCTCTACAAATTGAAATAATCATGATGCAATTGTTATTCTGAATATAAAATTGATAATGAGTGATGACTACAAAATTACAGTTAACAAAAAATGACATTAGACACATAGAAGCATAAGCAGAATGCATCAATGACGAAAATGAATTGTATTAAAATTGCATATGATACAACAAAAAGTAAGTTGTGTGCAAATGATCCGATTAGGTTTATCCCCATAACTTTCCTTATTTATAAGCTGACTCACAACCGAGATGTATTCAATTGTTGCATGTTTATATGTTGTAAATTAACATTAGAGTATGCAGTGGTGCTTTCGACGTACAACGTACCAGTTCATATTCAATAATTGAACTGTATCCATTCAGTGTTTACGTGGTTTGTTCCATGGACTAATGCTACTTCTGTATTATCAATAAGAATAAAGATTTCACATAGGTGTTAGTATAGTAGCAAGGATACCAATATATACATAGACACTACAGCAAACGAAAGTATAAGTAACGAATTCCGAACAGGAATGAAGGTGTATCCTGAAAACTAATGCTATACACAAGAATATTACCCAAAAACATTTTTAAAGGTTGTATCTAAAATCTGCTAACAATGTAAATACAAAGGTTGTTGGTTTGTAAAGATTTATCGATTTGAAAACTCTTGTAATGTCCAATAATATTCCCAAGATCTTTGTAAGAAGCCCTAAATCCCTTCACAAGGAATCCTGTTGCTTCGAAACTTCAAGAAAAAGCACGTGAACCAACGCTTAAAAAGCAGATTGATTGAAGATGCAAGATCAATAGGATATGATCTTTTAGAAAGGCCTAGAAACAGTCGAGGTCACTGGAAATGTGCATAAATCGTTGTATTTTGTGTAGATTTTGATGTTGCTGTACACCTTTTGTCAAATTACCACCTTTCTTACCGATGAACTGAGCCACCATCAAGGGCGGAATCTCCAGTTTACTGTTCAGGTGTTTCCAGCTTCTCAATGTTTCTCCAGTCCATATCAGTGTCATGAAAATCACTTTTCATGCAAAGACTAATGATCTAGGGTCAAAAGAGAACTTATGAACGTAAATAAACTCATTCAAATTAGATTTTTCCAAAAATTAAAAAAAGTTGATGAGATTTTCTTTCTACTAAGAGATCAAATAGAAGTATGTTCTCCTCTTCGCTGATTTATAATTTTATACAGTGTACACAGAAAATTTCTTAACTATTTAGCTTTGAAACAAAAAAATCTCTTGGTTCAAGAATTAATCACCACATACAAACATTTAGAAAATGATTTATAGAAGTCATCTAAGTCACATGTTTAACATTGATCATCAGCAATATATGTAATAGTGCATCATAATAATATTGACTACTGTCAGCCAAATCATATGCAGTAACCTTATGTGAAACATAATAATATCCAATGTTCTAAGAGGTGATATCAAGATGCACCGGTGATCTACACAGTCTGCGGTTAAAGCTAGCCATCATCTGCACCAACCTACCAAATCAGATAAAATTCGAAGTGAACCTTGTGAATATTCTCACAGCAGGCAATGAACCATACCTATTGTGTGAGGGTAAGTGATACTTTTTGGCTACCAAAACCTCGAAAGGCGGGGTTGGTAGAATTCATGAACCGTTGGTTGAATTTCATCTCCTTGGACCATTTCCACGCATCAGATAATGTATGGTAAGGTCGAAAATAGTTCATGCACATCAGACTAAATCATAGCATGAGTTCATGAAGTCACTGGTTATTGATTTAAAATGTGCATGGATATATAAGATTTCATGTTAGTTTGTGCACAGTAACCCAAGTCGATGGTTTAAGGTCGTGGCTCAGAAACGATCGAAGTATTACAGATACACTCACATTCCACCCTCAACTTAACCTTCAGTCTTTCCGATTTTTCTAATGGCCTACAACTTTTATTTCATCCGTCACAATTCTTGTTGCCTTGTATCTTTTGAATTGAGGCGATGCTGATACTAAATGAATGACTCGTTGAATGAAGCTTAAAAGACGTTTACTAAAGGAATGCTGCAAATGAAGTTTGGAAAGAGGTTGAAGGAAACGTGAAGGCTCATATTCTAACCACTAGTCACCAGAAAAAAATCGAAATAAATTGTACATAAATGGTAGTCGAGTGTACACGTAAAGCAGTAACTAACACGGTGAAGTTGACATCCTCAGTATATATGTTACTAACTACAAACCAGCTCCAAAAACGTTGTCAGTGATACACTGAACAGTAAATGAATAAACTTGACACTAATTACACAGATATGAACACTAGTCAAAACGACGTATTCCGCTGTGTCCAAACAATACATAAGATCTCTAATCCCAAAAGATATATAGCTTGGATATCACTGTTGATATGTTTCTTGAAATTATGTTTCTCAGATTCAATATTTATAACCACTATCTGTTAATAAATAACAACGGGAATCAACAACTTCTGTTAACAGCCCCGGCACTTAATGATCTTTCAGTTTCATACGATATTAGGAACCCCACACCTTAGTCAACAGATGCTAAACGGTGGCTAAGCGCAAACATAACTGACTCAGTGACTTAGATCTCTAGTTTTAAACAGTGAGTTCTACGTTCAACCCCCTTTTTAGTGAAAGCCATTAAACAGAATCATAAGTTATATTGAGTTACATATGGCTTATAGCCTAATGAATAAGTATTTGCCAGATTTCTGAATCGTAAGCAGTGATTATGCCTTACAAAGGGTAGCACAAAAGGTGGTAATAATGTCAGCTAATAACAAGAAAGTACAATAAACGAAGTCCATTAGACACAACTAGACAAAACAAGTGAAATCATGACTAGTAAAGAGTATCAAATATCGAATATGAGACTTAATTCTCAGTTACCGATCAGTAAGAAACATCATTCATTCTACATCTACTGTAGTACTCCCAACCTTCAGGGTTAAGACTACTGCTAAAGGCTAATGATAAACTGAAAACACGATTATGCCAAAACACTAACATAAATGAATGGATGAAAAAGTTATAATAGGATGCCACGATGGTACAAGCAACCCAGTGAAGAGTTAGGGCATATATAGAACAATTACATCCGATGATGAACGCATATTAGACCCCGAATTACATGTAGTTAGGATATATATGAAACACTGAAATCCCAAGTTGATGAAATTAACAATAACATGCTTATCGTGAAATTACTAGAGTTAAATATCTATTGAAGCGGCTGGTGTGTACAACTAAAGCCCCTATCACTATCTTTGTCTCAGTGATTTTAACTTTTTTCCAGAAATTATCCCAACTTCAAAGTATGATTAGTGTTTACAAACGCCTCAAAAAACGCAGTAGAATTAAGCCGAATGTGTAAAATACCACTATAGGATCAAAGAGTTTCGCATTGGCTAAGTAAAGTAAGAGATAAGATTAGGTATCACACAGACAGACAGGGAGATAAAATTAATGTAGAATCCCGCCACTTCACAGTTGAATGCAAAGAACAAATGGACAGAAAAAGAGTGATACCGAAGTAGACGAAAGTGCATGAGATGAGAAAGAATATGAAAATCAAGATCAGAGAGAAAGTCCAAACTTTAAAAACATCACATAGTGTAGAAACCTGGTTAATTGTGGCAGATTTTCAGCCATATCACCAACAGTCTGCAATCATCCATTCCTATTATCTCGAGGACCCTAACCACGTAGACTAACAGTCAAACATTTAATAAACTGGTGCCATGTCCTGATGTAGCTGCTATTAGTCGTCTTCCAAGCTAATCCTACTTTGACTAACAGCGCACTTTTATCAATGCTGATCAACAGATTCTGGACTTTTGAATTCAACAGCTGATACGCATACTTTAAAAGGTACTATACAATGTTATAAGTTTTTTTCGACGAATGAATGTTGTTAAATAGTTTCACAATAAAATAAAATGTTTATTTTTTTCTTTTTTCGATATTATTTCCGAGGTTTTATTATTGATATACAGAATAAAATGAATTTATGACGAAAGTTAACTTGTTTTCATTCAGATAAATCATAAGAATTCAACTTTTCGTTTAATTTATGCCTTTCAGTAATATAACCAATTATGTAAACTAAAATTGTATGCACAATGAAGCAAGAAAACATTTAGTTAAATTTAAGTTTAGATTAAGTTACTACGCCTTATTTCATTTCGGTAGTTTTTTTTTCACACTTATCTTAGTTCATTCATGTACAATATAAAAGTTGGAATAAGATTATTATGACTACTTGAAATTACTTATCTGTTAAACGATTTTGAAGACTACAATGGTCTATCTAGTATCCAAACTAACCATTAAACCTGTCTCCTATATTCATGTTACATTAGGAGCAGTTTTAAATGCATTTGAAATAAAAACCAACTGGTTATGCATGAAGGGAGCTCTTTGTGCTGCATAAGTCCAGATATTCGATTAAATCAGTAGGTCATGGACCCGGGTCCAACTCTACTCAATAAGATGTAAGTACGCATGTGACAGTGTAAACCATAAAATATCCGAGTGGTCCTAACTCTAACTACATCTATTTAGCTAGACGTTTTCTCTGGAACTCATGTACGATCAAAAATTAACATATATACATATTATATACTTCACCTCAAAATCTCCAGGAGTGAACTACACCCAGTCACAAGTGGTTACTTTGTATTAAAAACTAAAAAAAAGTTGATAACTTTAATATTACCCAAATGTCGTTTTTTCTAGATTTTCAAGTCAATTTTTTTTTGCGCAGTTAAATATTTGAATGTCTGGAAATACCGAACTAATTTGCCAGAAGTTGACTGTAACGAAGTTACTGAGAGTAAAAAGTTAAAATCAAAACAGTATTATTTCACAATAGTTTACTATGAAGGCGTTCCATATTCTGAAGAAACCAACTACAATGGAATATGAAACTTTTATTCCTTGGTGTAATTTACACCGAAACTTTTCACTTACAACTACCAAGTCAAAAGTTCGAATCCCATCTTATTTAGCTATAATCTGTCAAACTAGTTGGCTAAACCGATAACATTCACGCATCACATTTGAATAACAGCTAGATAACCAATTAATTTGATTGATGCTGATCTTATTGAGAATAGGAAGTACATTGTAACCATATCATCAGGTGATGTATAGAAGTTAAGAGCTATGCATCAGTCAAGTAGTGTGAATAATAAGAACTCCATTCAATAAACCTTATTCATCTGGTATAAAAACTAAACGATACAAACATATATTGGATCGTATCCAAATTACCGAAATAAATTAATCAAAGTGATGCTGAAAAATGAAACGACTGATAACAGTCAATTAGCTGTGTAACCACTAAACAAAAGTGAATCAGAAGCCTAAAAATAACAATAACCTACTTTGAAGGAGCAATATTCTCTTCAATAATTGTATTCTCTTCATCTCCTTCAGTTTGACCATTATCACGACTACGTTGTCTACGTAAAATAATATCCACATAACCAGAAATCAGCTGGGCGATTTGTTCACCTTCAGTTGTTTGCATTATGTAATTTCCATCGGGACTATACTGACCAAAGTCCTGGTGAGAATTATGAAGAAAAATAAGAGTATATACATGAGTGACTAATAAACAAAGAGTATGTCATGGTAGAGTATGCGAAATGATGAAAAGTAATCAATATAAAGGTAAGAAAAAATTGTCACCTAAAACAAATTCACCGTGTTAGAAAGTTTCCCTCAATGAGTAGAATAACTAATGATAAGTGATCCTTAAATCCTAATTTTACTTACATCATTACAAGTGCACAAATATTACAGTATTGACAATAACAAAGGCACAAACAATCCAGTTAAAGTTCGTAGAATATACAGTCAATAAGCCGATCTTTCGTAAGCTTAATACACACAGTTATACGACATTTGACAGAGTACTATAAGGATTTGCGTGGCAGCTTAGATAGAATCCTAAAAAGTTATATAAAATTAAGGATAAAACAATAACATAGAGATATTTACCACCAACTTAATCATGAAACTTAACAACAGAAAAAATATCACTAAGATGTATCCTATATAATTCAAGAAAGCAAAGACTGAATCAGTAATCAAACTGTCAAAAACTTTGGGAAAGATCACAGCGGTTATTTTGTTCTTTCGTCCCTTTTCATTCACCATATGTGAATTATTACACTACCTTGCTTTGAAATAGACCGACTAGTGCAATTTAGCGGAATTAAATTCACTGATAAACGAAAAGGTCGGCTTGTGTTAGCTTTATATATCTGACAACACAAGCTTTTCATCTGTACACAAATATTAGAAGGAAGTTTTCATTGTAAATTATCACCAACAGGGCAACCATTGCAAAACCAAAGAGCAGAGAGGCAGTAGCTTATCTTCTTGCAAGAATCGCTAGCATTGTAGACGTATATTATAACAACAGGATATTTCTCAGATATTTACACTTCCAACCAACAGATGCTATTACTATCATCGATATTCTCAGTCTCAAGTAACACTTTCGAAATAGTTGGATGGTCATGAGTGGTTTAGGAGATCGAACAGGATACAATAACCTCGATGTCCCAACAAGACCTCAAGTAACTAACTATCCCAAGACAACTTACTGATCCGAATAACTTGTCTGTACATTGTGTAGGAGCAACTGTTGTGATTTGTAAAATATTTGTAGGTTGAAAAAGCCATCAAATAAAGTTTTTAGGAGTAATAATATTGACAAATCAAGTTCATCATTTACACATACAAACAGCAGTTTTATGTAGGCTACAATTATAAAACTGTGTGCAGTGATACAATAAAACGCATTGTTATAGATTTTTAAACTATTCACAATACTCATATTCTGTAGTAAATATTATTTATATCTGCTCTAAAAAGGTTTCGTCTGTAAAAGTATGTTTTTTTGCTCAACACAACGCCAAATTCAAGATGACTAATTTTGGGTATACGTAGTAACAATATCTTAGGGGAGTGTAATAAATTCCATAAGAATACACACCGAAATCATTTTATAAAGTCACATACACGAAACAAATGAAAACGCAAAAACTTGTTCTGCTGTCTAAATACATTTAAAAACTGTGATACCCATTTAGTCTTTGATTTGTTAATGAATGCTTATATGAAGTTAAAAACTAAGTTGTAGTAAACTTGTACTTAACTAAATAAAATCCATACACACTTTTCATGAACATCCGAAATGAAAAAGTTTAAATGTGGTGAGGTTAAACAGAAATAAGAAGTGATTTAGCACTTCAAGTGATAGAAACAATGAAATCGAATAGAAAGGCTGACAAGTAATTCGTTAACACCGAAGAAACAAGTATGTGAAGAAGGATGCTTTGAAAATGATATTGTGTAACCTCCCAATGCATTACTTCATGCATAAAAACACACCGAATACAAACTAACCACTAACGAATATTCAAAAAAGGAAACATCGTCACCTAAGGTGAACATAAGATTTCTGAATGAGTTTTTGAGGTCAGAATGATAATGATTACATAACTTCACTGTCTTCTGTGTTACTATATGCATTAAGTGTATTTGCCAAATGTATTGGAGGAGACAACTACACGTCAATTGGATGCATCACATAACCGTGACTACAAGCGAATGGACATCAGATTAATAGTTGAATATCTTAGATGGATCGGTAATTCGAATACCGCTGTCATGATTCCTACAAAGACCTAGATTTTTATGAACTACAAGTATGAACCTTTTACTCTGAGAAAAAAAAATTTCATTCGCTTTATTGTGCACAGACATTCAGGTTACATATTCAAACAGTTTAATTACTACATAGTTAGATAAGTTAGCAAAATGTTACCTTAGCATACCACATAGCAACATTTATTCAGCAGGACTTATTTTGTTCGAGAATTTCAGGTTGATGTCAAAAATGTCATTATTTCAATGAAGTGCATATAAAAATTCACTTGTTATGAAGAGCTTTGTCTTATAACTACAAAAACCCATTGCATGAAGCTATAAGTGAAAAAGTAGTAGTTTCAACGAAATGAAATTACTGGTTTCTAATACAGAGATGAAAATCAGTGGCCGAAAAATTCACACATTGATTTTTGTTGAATATTACAAAAAAAAATCACTTAGTTTGAAGTTTAACAATCAGACACAATGCATTTCAGCGACCAACTAGAAACTTATGTGCTAAATAATGAGAAATGTTTAATGTGAATTCAGTAAAATATAAGTGTAAAACTTGCGCACTGTGGTCGAGTGTAATTCCATTTTAGTCTGTTTATTAGAAATATCACAGTGAAACAGTAGCATTTACTGGATAACGTTTCGGACATAATTTCTTGTCCATATTCATATCAGGTAACTCCACAACTTCGAGACAGTATATATATATATATATATATATATATATATATATATATATATTCCTAGTTTTCTCTCCTTCTCTGTGATGACAAGGGTAGTAGAATTTTCCATATATCTGGGACAGGTGCAGCATCATTTCGATTGCATGTGTTTGGTGTTGATTCGATAAACAAAGATTCGGTTATCAGTCTTTCCCTCCACCCAACTAAGTTAGTTTTTAACACTGTCACCCTATCCCACCCTACTATGTGATTGCGTATCATCGTATGCAGAGCTATAGCCGAGTTTTTCTCTAGATTTCTTATCTTACTAGGATCTACTGATCTTGATTTAGCTAAGTTTTTGTACTCTGTCATTCTAATCGACCCTGGTCGACTGCTTTGACCTATGTACTTGACCTCGCAATCCTTGCAAGGAATCTGGTAAACCAGATTATTTTGCTTAATTGCATCGATAGGATCTTTTAACCTACAAAGCTTGTTTCTAAGTGAGTTTGTTGGTTTGAATGCCACTTTAATCCCAGCCTTATTGAGAATTCTTCGCAGTGCTTCTGAGGTGCCTTCTTTGTATTGTAACACAGCAGAGGCTTTGAATTCTCTCTTAACCCTGTCGCCATTATTACCACTAGTAGTGGGATTATTATTAATAACATTTGTATTACTACTACTACTACCACTGCTAATGTTTTTCTTTCGATTTCTTATGAATTTATTTATAAATTTTGGTGGGTAATTATTGAGACGTAGGGTATTCTTGATGTGTTTGATTTCTTGTCGCAGATTTTCCAATCTACTAGTAAGCTTTTTCGCTCTATCACCTAAGCATTTAACTAGGCCTACTTTAACTGAAATGGGGTGGGAGGATTCGAAGTCTAAGTAGTGATTCGAATGGGCAGGTTTCCTATAGACACTAGTCTCTAGATTTCCTTCTTGTGTTCGTTTAATCTTGCAATCCAACATTGCTTGCTCACCTTCTTCACTTTCTAAGTCATAGGTAAATTGGATTGCATTTACTACTGAATTTATATGTGCCAAGAACCTACTCAAGTAACTCTGAAAACCACTCTGACAATGAGGTTTTTACTTTATGAAAAAAACCACTCTTCTAAACGAAAAGAACAAATATAATGTGTTAGTCCACTGAATATTCCAAGAACCACTGAAATAAACAATTAGGTCTATTCATTTCATCTGGAAAAGTACCTTCTGCATAAAAAAATAAACTTAGTTGGTTATTTTGCAGTAGCTAGGAAGGCCTTTAGAGTCACTCCACTTGCACATTACGTACCAGCATATATCTGGAAGATGTTAGTCATAATCTTATATTTAAATGTAGTTATAGACCGTAGCGATGTTGACAAGAAAATGAACAAATAAGACTGAAAAGCTAACTTGAGATATCGTTAAGGGAAATAATTACACAGAATAATGGGTTTTCTTAGGCAAATATAGCCCCCACATACCTGAAAGCATATTATTTCTATTTTACAAACATATAAAAATACACATTCAAAAACACAGAAATGCAAACAGGAACGGAACGACATGAGATATCAGTTAGTAAACGTTAGTTCAAGTATTTCTGAAGAAACAAACCCATATTGACTACGGTGAGCAATAAATGATGAAAACTGGCCAAGTGAATCAGATATCCTTTCACATATGAATAAAACGATATCAGAGAAAAAAGACAGCACTCAATGAAGGAAATACTGTTCGACAGGCCATGACAACAAGCCTCTTGAATTATAATTATCTGAGATTACGTTCAAAATATCAGTCATCGAAAACACTAACCGCCTTCATCATTCTAAAGTAAGTTGAAGAAATTTCCAGGTGAAAACGACTGTTGAATAAGATAACTACCTTCAAAATAAACAGAACCATTGGTTCTTTTACTGTAAAGTAAGTGAAATGGCGTTTTAATCCCTTTTAACTCTGTAAAACAACCATACAAGAATTGTTGAATGTAAACTGCAAAGATCAAAACGTAAATGTACCAACATGTAAGGACGTACATCCCAAAATGAGTAGTATATTGATACACACTGAAGCGAAATCAATTAGCTCTCTTATTAATATCTTATATTCAGAAATAATAGAGTTTTGCATGAATATTACACGACATTAATGAAAATGCGTTTATACAGTATGTTTATTCCCAGATATCACAGATCTACTGATACTTAGCTTCATTGAAGCAGTGAAAATAGAATAAAATTGTTATATACTCACACTTCAGCGTAAAACTAAGGATTAATTAGGCACTGCTTGAAACTCAGTAGAGTACATCGAACAAATTATCAGTTCAATAGGATAAAATGAAAACCTACCAAAGTAAAAAGATTCGCTGTAGCTGCCCATCGACGTATACGTGTTAATGACCACGTTTCCAAGATTTCTTTTGTCTTCTCATCTACACGCATTACACTTTCTTTACTGACTCCAAATAGACGTGGTACAAGTTTGTTACGACCTTTCAATTTTTCCTGAAAATGAAAATAGGACTTGAGTCTTTTTCCCAAATGAAACTATCCAAGCATCAACAGCTATTCTAAGAATAACAAACAATAATTTGTAAACAGCTAAAGTTAATCAGCGAAAAAAAAATTCAAGTATCAATAGTGACACAAAAGTAATGCATTGCATTTCGTACGTTTAAAAATCGATAGATTTAAGAATTTTCATAATGACTAGCAGCCTCCTTTAGGACACAAACGCACACATTGTTGGTGCAAACGAAACTGAGTAACTTCAAAGGATAATTTCAGCAGTTACATGAGTGGCTCTGAAAACCATCCCAAAATAAGCTTATATTACTCAGTTAATGTGCAGAGTAAATTACCTTCTCAACCAAAATATTGACAGCTTATTAGCTCTTCGATTTACAACATATTCAATAACTTGAAATAATTAGTCCCTTTTATGAATTTGGATAATGTAATTAGAAGACGTAGATTATCTGAAAAATGTGATGTATTAACGTTATACATTTCGAACAATCTGATCATACATTTACTTGTTAAGGCATTATATATGAAAACTGGAAGTTATTATTATTATTATTATTGAATTCCTTTATGTCATATGTATCCTTCCCTCACTTCCAGTTTTCATATATAATGCCTTAACAAGTAAATGTGTGATCAGATTGTTCGAAATGTATAGCGCTAATACATCACATTTTTCAGATAATCTACGTCCTCTAATTACATTATTCATATTCAATAACATTTCAGACAATACAATCTAAAAATGCGTCGAAAATCTAATAACTACGGTGGGTGTAGTCACTAAGGTGTTCTTCAAAGCCAATCACAAAACTGATATTGATGACCATTTTATGCCAACGAAGGAAATACATGGGAGAAAAAAGAAGAAATGGACGACAACAGAATAGCTTGACAGTAAATTTAAATGCTGAAAGCTTTCACACCATCGTTATGAGTTTTAAATCACACCACATGTACCTGAGCAACTAAATCTGTTATATTCCGAGAAACATAATCACCTAGAACACTTCACCAAACAACTCAGATCAAAACTGAATAAATCTACCTACTGGTCGCGAGACTCAAGTAAACCAAAATACAGAGCATCATATATCAAAAACGTGTAATAATTTGGCAACTGAATGGAGAAAATCTTCAATATCCCTATCTCCTAACTAAAACTAATCGACTGAAAAGGGAAACGAATGTGAACCAACTATTCATGCCACAAAAAGGCGGTACTTTTTGTAACTTACACTAGTAAATCCATCTTATTGGGTCCAAAGACGAAGTTTTGATCCGTTATGGTTTAATCAGATGGAAGTATTTATTAAACTTAATTACTGAATTCGAACGGTGGCGGTTATTAGGTAGATAAGGTATAATAGATGAAGACCCATAAAGATGGGTCGTTCATAAATTCAACAGACCAAGAACTTAAACTAGTAGCTTCATAGGAACAACAATCATTTGATAAATAAGAATTACTGTTACCTAATTTAATAATATTTCAAAGGTATATCAGAAATTGTGTGGAGGTAATATGCACACAATCCAGATACATTTAGTGTGCAAAGGATCCTTGCAAAAAATCAACAATAACTTCAACAAGTAACGTATAAATTAGTACAAAGGGTAGATTTTGATGTACAGATAATTTTTTACCACTTTAATTTTTGATAAGTTATAGTACTTAACTATTCGGAGAAACCTTTAGCTGAGTTCTATAAACTTTATAGTTGATCGAAAGGATACACGTGATCTGGATCAATGAGTTACATAGAAATGGTTTATCCTTTACTCCTAGGCTCACATTTTGTAAATGGACCTTTCCGTTAAAAGAGGGACCATAGAGTGTGAAATCGGCACGCGAAAATTCTTGAATAAATTAGAAAAAACAAAATGATAGTTACTCCGTATACTGATCAATCAAACAACAGTAATACTTAAAGACTGAAGATGAAAGAAGAGAATGTCGACATAGGATCATGAAATAGCAACTGGAAAAATAGATATGTAAATTTTACGTCAGCGAACTTCAACCACAAATTAAAGGGAACTGGTGAGAACTGCAATGCCTTAAAGTGATAGCTGAAGACAAATTGAAGGTAAACCATTGACTTCTTATCATTACAAATGACTAGTGCCTTATGGACTAGAGTATAAAGAGGTTTTACAGTTCGATGACGATGATGAGAAAACAAGTGTGGATACATTTCAGTCCTCTTACGCACGGGTACGTTGGAAGATGTGATAAAAAGCGTGACTAATCATTTCTTCTGCCGTCTAATATAATTGACCTGATGTATACGCATCAACTGGTGAACATGATAATACGTAGCATGTAACAGGCAATTTCCTACCATTGACATCCAGTACAGCTTGTATGTTAAGTGAGAATACAAAAAAATCATATATCATGAATTCATACTACATACTACAAAGTTAGTTCAAGTTATGCTGAAATTAATTATGAGAACATAGTATTATTGAAACAAATCAAAACCTCTTATGTGTAATTTAAATGATCATAACGAAATATTGACGACCATAAAGATAAAAGTCAAGGTTAGTGAAAATCTTACTTGGCCATAAACTGGTTTAACTGAATACTAAATCAAAGTCAAGTATGCTTGTAATTTTTCACTGTGGATAACTCATTATCTTATGGTAGATAACTGGATGACTTAATTTGCTGAAGGTATTCTTGTTAGTATAGTTTCTATTTACAAAAGCCTTCTTGATTCTGTCGATTTAAAGTAAGGCTTTATTGTAGTAAAAACTCGATGCAGGATTTAAGCGGAATATTTAGGTAACATTAATTCATTTATTCATCCATTCATTTATTTATTCATTTATTCAATAAACTACAGACATTCATCAATAACTGCTTACGCTCACTCGCTACTGAAGATCAGAAGGATTGCCAGAAAGAATAAGCAACAAGGAACTCTGGGAACGAACCAACCAAGAACCTATCACGCAACAAATATGCAGGAGGAAGTGGAGATGGATTGGCCATGCACTGAGAAGGCCGACTGAGGACATCACGCGTCAGGCCAGGTACTCGAGTGGAATCCCCATGGGAAGCGACGAGTTGGACGTCCAAGGGTGACATGGAGGAGGTCGTGCGAGGAGGAAATGAGAGCTTCTGGGCTATCGTGGAACCAGGTTGAAAAGATCTCAGAGAACAGAGGTCACTGGAGACGTGCTACTGAAGCCCTATGTTCCACTAGGAACCCAAGGGACTAATAATAATAATATTCAAATGGTAATTAGCTAACTACTTTCATTCCATAAAATTATCATTTAAAAGTATAGATACTGATGCCTTTAAAACGTTACTTGAGGATGAAAAGGGACATTAGAAGACTGTATATGCACTTCACATAATCAGATATCCTGCATCTCAATGTGTCATACTAAGCTGGTATAAGAGTAACCTGGAAACGTGCAAGCCTTCTGGTCGTCCCAGTGCCAGGAAGCAAAAACCAGAGAACGAACCCAAGATTGACTGAAATCGTATAGAAACAATCACTTTACCGTGTTCTAAAGATAAAATTAGTCAACAACTATTTATTTTCTGCTTCATAATCACTTGCACAGTTATTTATTTATGATAGTTTTCCTAAGATGCAGTTTTGAAATACGACATGAGTGAAGCAATGCGCTACAACAAGTTTTAGGATACTTCAGTCGCCATAATGCAGTTTCAAATATTCTGACAGTCCCTCTGGGAAAAGTTATCAGAATGTGATAAGCATCATTTATCGTTAGGTTATGATATACAATGCACAATTAAAAAGGAGCGGATTTAACAAAAATATTACAGATCGGTTGGATTAAAAGAGGACCAGTGTCCCAGCCAAACCTCCATATAGTGTCAGTTATAACCATCACTGACCATGTTGAAATCACTAAAAAACCAAAGTATCACTGATAAATTATACACCATCAGTGTAATATATGTATGATGTAGTAAGTTTGAAACAGCCTACATAAATTATAAAGAAATTGATTATCTTGAATAATAACATGGTAAGTGAAGAAGTCTTGTTTGTCCAAAGAATTACCGAAACCCATTTCATAGGACTTATATTCAACACTGACAATAATCAACAACAAATTTGACCCTGAACGCAGGTCAATCAATAATGTTGTAATAATAAAATCTATTGTCCAATCAACCAAACGTATATCTAAGGTCAATATCATGCTATTGATTACACAGAATCACATGATCGTCTACATAATTCACAATCACCAAATAGACCTTAAAGCATTATGACTTTCAGCAACATATGAGGCATAGTTCTCGAGAACAACTTTTCTCTCTTCTCATTATCACTCACTTCTTGTGGTTAATGTTTGGTTTGAAAACTTTTTACACTTCTACCAATACAATTGGAAATATGTGTTGCAAGAAGTTTGATGATATAGGTGAATGGCTCTATTTTTATCAGGTCAAAAATATATGTAGTTAGGTCATGAAGATAATCCTTCGACAGAAGTGTTGTTTTTTCTCAGATGAACATTATTAAGCTTTGTGATGGACGACTTATGCTCCACAGAGGCTTGCTTTTTCACCTAATGATTTTAAGTCTTCAGAAATTTAGATTTCGGGTTATTCGCGACAAAACTGCGTACATCATGTACATTTCGTTTTGACTGACCCTTACCTGTTAGATAGTATATGTTGTTGTACCTATTTTGAGAAACCTTTTCCTTAAGAAATTTAAAATAATATGTAAAAATCGAGAGCTGTACTCCAGTTTCAAACTTCTTTGCTTTTCAGTCCAAGTATTTGGCTTTCCTAATAGTTGGGAACTAAAAAGTTCGAATAACATGTCTGATGTGAACCGTTGTACCGGTACTAAGAGTTTATTTGAAGAGTCTACTTCATCTAGCGACAGTTTTAAGTATGCCTCGAAAGATAAGCAGAGATCTTACGATTAAGTATAACATAGTCATGCTAGAGATTCAAAAACATACACAATATAAAGTATAATATATTGTAAAAACCAAGACTGGTGAAGATGAACAGGATATTCGGAAACAAAATGAAAATGAGTACTGATAAGATATTACAAGCTTGCATTCAACGCAGTCAGTGCAAATAATATTTGCATTCTATTGTCGAAATAAATAGTTCTTTGGTTTCTATTGCTTCTTCATGTATGCTCTGTATTTCTGTCTGACCAACTCACTTTCGAGAACCTCGATTGGTTGGATGCTAACCATAATTACTTTACCCAGCGACACTCCATAATACACTACTTAAACACAGTCTGTTAGTAGCCTACAACCTAAATACAAGAAGTGGATTTGTAATTCATTGACTATAGTGCTTAACCTCCAGACGATGGTTCAAACCACACTACGCCCACTCAGGCTTAGAAAACCAAGTCACGTCACAGATATTCACACTCATAACACAGTACACAAATCTACACTGTGGCAGTGAGTTGCATCAAAAAGTGCCACATAAGCGCAGTTAGTTCGACAATGAACCATAACTTTTTATTCTGTAGTAAAGGAAACAGATATCAACAATTGCAACAACTAAAATCTTTTGAAGTTGGTACTTATTACGGACTCCCATCAGTTGGAGAACCACTGAAAACATGGGAGAAGTCAACAGCTGTTTCGTCCTAGTTTGTAACGCGTCCGCAGTGCTCATCAATAAGCCTGCCAGGGATAGAACTCAAGACTTTCAGGTTTCACGGCGAGCGCTTTGCCATTGAGTCACAGGTTCGGAGTTCAGTGGTCTAATTTACCTACTTCTGCTAGTTCACGATATAGCGCGATCTCAATCCAATATCGTCATCGAGTAAGTGTCTTCACGTACGACTTGGTTTGCGCCATAGGTCCCAACTTCTCACTAGAACTTCAGGAATCTCAGCTGGAAGCAAGTCACTAATGAGCACTAAAAATTACTTAGCAACTTTCGTACTGTATAACAAGGTGTAAGTGATTGTAACCATTGTCATCAACAACATTATTACTGTTGTACATCACATTAACAAGAATAGAAACTTAAATGCGCACTACTAAATTTTTCTAGTAAAATAATGGCATGATAGGTTTGTAGCAGTGGCAAGCTGTTTCACATGATACAATGTTGTCAAACTGTAAGCGCTTCTATTCAAATTATAAACCTGCACATAACTTTAACACAAGCACGGTAAATTACCAAAAAATATAGCCTATAGAAATCATCTCACTTTGACAGAAAATGAACCGAGGACATTTGAAATTGTATTAATTCATAAATTCACAAAGTGCAGACAGACAGATAAAATCAGAGTAGAACCTCGCATACAAGTAAATCGGTTCAAGTAGCTACATCTCACAATAGTGTGCAAAGAATAAGTGGATGGGAAAGACTTACATCAAATTAGATAAAGGTGTACGAGGGGAGCGAGAATCTAAAAATTACGGTACACTAGGCAACGAGTGTGAGTACGATCAAACGATAGTAACACATCATGAACTCACATGGCAATCGGACAAACCCTTGGTGATTGGAGTGAAATGAAAATTTGGTCAGCAGCCTGGTCTCGTAGCTTTATTAGCAGAGCACCGGGTTGGTAATCCACAGGTTGTTGGCCCGAATCCTTCCACGGCCCATATTTTCACTTCACCCCCAATCCCCGCCCAGTAACAAATAATAGGACCAGTGTCCGTGCTGGTTGAGTTATAAAAGTCTTTAGCGACTGGCACATTAAGTTCCACAAAAACAAATATTGCTTACACATTGAAAAAAACTAAACACTTGTTTGATTGAACATTACTCCCAGGCTTTGGAATAAGCTATGTGAGTCTCATGAACATATGAATTCTAATGCATATATGTGGCAATCTTCGCTTATTCAGACTGATATACGTGAATCAGGTTTGAAACGACATGCCATTGAGTTACACCTTCATTATGAACTCTATACAGAGATAAAGCACGCTCTCATTAGACAGTAAAAATTACACTTACTTTGATAAGGAAGAATGTTATACCATAGGTTGGCAAAGATCTGCACAACTGAACATAACGCAGTTTAGCTTCTCTTTCATCGTAATTCCCCAACTTTTGATATTGCTAGAAAGAGTTGATAAAAAAAATATGAGATACTTTTAAGTTGTGAAAATATGAACCAAGATCTGACCTAATAAATCTTAAATTAGTTGTGTAATGAATATATACTTTATGATTAGAATGCTTTTGCGAGATTCTGTTCATGTAAAAATGGGAATTTTCGAAGGTATATGATCCCATGAAAGTTTTGTTTATAAAAAGCATAAGGTGTACACATTAGTATGTGTAACCATTATAGACAGAACAAATCATATCATTTTTAAAATACATTCTTTCTTGCACAAACATTAATTTTACGAGGTAACGGTTCACACAGATTTAAGAAATGTTAGGGTCCTACATTCATAATTCATTGAGCCTGGATTGATTTACATTTTCAGCAAGTTTCATATTGTTTTGTCGGTATGTCCATGACTAGCATCATACACCATTCACTCACACAATAAGCCTAACCATATTAACTACTTAGCGTAGAGTCCAGGTTTTCTAAGTCACCTAACGTCCACTAAGTGTAACCCAGCCGTGAAACTCCAATTTCACGCTTTTATTTTCGTAAGATCACCCAACTATATGCAAAAAGAGGAGTTCTATAACAGATGCTGTATACTAAAGTTTAAAAACTTATAGTAATTAAAGTATATCATCTACCCGATGAACGTTTTATTGCTAGGCTATGAGCAATATCTCATGAGTGACGGCTTATGATTCTATCTAGCTACCCAGAGCAAAATAGGTGGAGCGCAATTTGAACCCAAGCCCAGTTGTTCGGATGTCTAGTATTTACGTCAATGACGCCTAGCTCGACTACAATTATATAGAAATCTTTTCCATTTACTATTAAAGTGTTAAGGCCTCTGGTTCAAGTTTCACTTCATCAACATACTTTTCAGTAGTTAAAGAAATTCCACTAGTCTGATATATAAGCCTATTGTTGGAAGCACTAATGCTTTTAGAGTTTGAAAATCATAACTAGTCTTCCTTTTCCGAATTCTTTCTCCTCCCATACACTTTGTCAACTTTGATATCACTCTACTTCTAACCACTTGTTTTCCACATGCTGCTGTGAAGTGTAGCAACACCAACCAAGGCATTTTTGTGTGAGGTCCTACACTCACTTTTTGCTTTCTGTCACTTGCAAAGTAATACATTGTTCGGAAAATGAAAATTCGAGCTAGTTTATCCATAGTAGAATTATGGTGAATTAAGATTATAAGTGGATAGACACATATTTGTACTGGGTGATGGTTCAACGTGAAATTCGAACTAGAGATCAGTAGGTTTCCGACCCAACACTCCACCAAATCTGGTCAGCAGTCGGACCTCGTAGCTTAGTTGGTAGAGCATCGGGCAGGAAACCTGGGGATCACTGGTTTGAATCCGGCAGCAGTTTAAGTTTTCATTTCACCTTTAATAATCACCCAATATAAATACTAGTCTGCCAAACTAGTCAAATGATAGACGTATATTACTTAAATCAAATTTTTATAACATGTAATTTGATAATACATTACTTCGTTCGATAAAGCACAGTGATATAGAGTTATTTATAGAATCCAGGAGCTGATACTGTATCCCTGTATAGCATATCAAATAAAGTAATTCAATATGAAATCATACACCACCACAATTTTATTCCTATACCACAGAATGAAACCTTTTGTTCAATCACAAAACAGATAAGGCATATACATACATCATGAAAATATTTGTGCGATTGGAACAAACTTTTTAAAAATCAAAAACAAGCCTACTATAGACTGAGTTGTCATATAAAATCAATACGGATAGCTTTCCTTGTATTTACATGAAATGTCAAATTTTGTTTTATCAAATTACACATTAATTGATGAACACAATCAGGATATGCACAATTGAACAAAACTATTCAGTTTTCGGTTTGGTGAATGCACACAATTGTATGCGGACAATCAATATCCTCAAAACTTGTAAACGAAATTCGTATTTTATTACTTTGACATTTCTTTTTACGGGAATATATACGAAGAAAGAGAGAGATAGAAAGCAAGCAAAGACAACTAACGGACAGAAAAAAGACTCAAGTAATGATGTTTAACAACAAGAATTATCAAAGTCTACACACATCTTTTATACAAAAACACTACAATTAGGTAATTATTCTATTCATCCTATATGAACGATAAGATGATTGTGTTAGTAAAGTTTTTAACACAACGGATTAATGGTTACTTGATGAACCCTATTACAATCATTATATCTTAGTTTCAGACTCCATAACTGAGACTCGTACAACAGCGAATTCAGGCATTCCATGTCTAACTATTTCTTTAACTGGCGACAATGAATCATACAGTTCAACGTCACAAAAACTAAAATTTGTTCAGGATCACCTAACTAAAACAGTTGAATAACAGTTCATAAACTGATAGTGATCAAATTCAAAATCATAAAAATGATCGTATACAATACAGTCACAGATCGACTTAATAATAAATGTTTTGCAGATTGACTGCCAGATGATAACTGACGTCATGATTTGATCATAAGTACCGATTTTAGTCTATCGATTGGGTGTAATGTATATGATCTCTAGGCTGTGTGACTAAATTTTGGTGACTGATATGGAAATTAGAAAAACATACGTGCACATACATGTGCTTTTGTCATTCCATCGAAAAAAAAATACTTAAGGAACATCTTTTATTTTACACTCTTCTACTCCACGAACACAAGGTTTTAACATAAATTGAAGTGCAAGTAATGAATGACAGCTAATAGTGGTGTACAGGATGCCCGTTTTCGTCAGTGTGAAACACGTCAGCTGAATGTACCTGCATCTAAATGCTGCTGTTTGCACGAAGACTTGAACGTAGCACCAGTCGCTTCAAATGCTAGGAGGTTATTCACCAAGCCACTGACTTACAACTCAATGAAACATAAGTGAAACTGGTTGTGAAATTTTCGATTTATTGACATAAAAATGGTTTTAAGATGATAATATGAGATCATGGAGGTCACATTAGCATTTGAACTAAGGGCCTCCAGCTTAAAGAAACAGTACTGCCAGCAATACTTATATACTATATACTGTTGTTGCAGTGTACTATCTCCGGAAAATTAGGTACCACACTTTACTGCTAATGATAACTGTTCTCCTTCCCTATACACAAGACAATTTTGTTACAAATCTCATTTTAACCACAGAACAGTCAACACTGGAAAAATCTACCGAATATACGTTTTTCATCGTGTGTTCAACTAAACTAAGACATCCCAATGAGCACTGATGGTTTACTAAGTAATATAACCAGTCATTGACATCAATCATATAAACTCAATGCACTCATTTAGTAACATAGAAGACAGCAAATACAAAAGTACTACAAGTTTAGCTAAGGTTTGTTTATCTTCTTAGTTAACAGGAGAGCAGCTAGGATTAGAGGGAATGACCTAAAGGCAAGAAAGAGGAAAAAAGGAGAAAACTACTTCATATGAACACAATTTTTTCTACCCCTAGGTATGACGTTTGCAGCCCTATACTCCATACATATAAGACAAAGTCATAACAAAATAACAACAGTCAACTGAAATCGCATGGAGAATAAGAAAGGAATAAGTGACGAAGGTATGATGAGGAATATTTAACATTATTGTTATTACTGTTGATCAACATTACTAATTGATTTGTCTGAAAATAAAAAGTCTTCAAATAAACTAAAACGCGGACAATTTTAATACAAAAAGGGACTATTGTGTGGTAAATAAAACATTAGAAACTGATTAGTCTAACAGCCATATACATCTAATCTAAATGCTATAAACAAAGGTATAACTACCCAGAAGGTTGAATGAATTAGAAAAAGCAGTAAAGATACAAAGATGTAAGTTAAAATACTGCATAAAAGAAGAATGAAAATGGGAGCTGTTTCGTTCGGTTACGTGTTCTTCAAAAGTATGTGTTTATGACTTTCCTAAATGATATCTGAGAATCTCACGTCTAGTGAAGAATGCATAAACTTCGAGGTTAATCAGCCACTTCTTTTCTGCTAGTAGCAATTAGTGGTATGAAAGATAACTGTTTTAGCGTTAGTTTAATGACAAACAAGAAGCAGTTAAAGACCTCATTTACAAAAATTGTTCTTCAAACTTTAATAAGATCAAAACGAGGCACTAAGGTCTACCATTACACTAATTAGAACTATTAGGTAGGAAACTAGATAAATATTATGACCTTAAAGTTGACTTTCTAACCTAACTTTACACTACATTTGGTGGTCGAACTTATTACTTTAGTACAAAACTTGGACACTTCTGACTCACTATGACCAAATTAAAGACAACTATCCCTAAGGGCTAACACAGTAAGTATCCTAGCAGAGAACTGTTAACCAACCGATTTCAAATTTAAGAATAGTAATGAGCTAAAAAGCTTGGACAAAAGTGTCACAAAGTAAGTTTATTACAAACAAGAAACAGACTGTTAGTCAAGTAGGCATTCAATATATTCCTACAAATAAATGTAAGGCTGCAATTTTGTCTTCAAAAAGATATACAATAACATCTGTCGAAGATATTTAGGTTTACAAACATGTCAACCTATGAAGCTGAGACCTCAGATTTCATTTCTACACCAACCAGAGATACACTTTACAAAAACATCTGATCATAAGTGAACAGTTTACTAAAGTCTTATTTTTTCAAAGTAGGAATTTGACATGAACCTATCTTGGTACTCACTCAAAATAATGAAAAACTTACTTCTAATATCCGCTTTTCAATACCCTTTGATTTGATATATTCTTTAGGTAAGCGATCTTTCAGACTAAAAATGCAACAAAAATAAATACACTTTTTTTAGCACATATTTGTAACAAGCCAAGTGTTTCTACAGAAGTGGATTTATAAAATAATTGCAAAACTGTATCATAACCTACTCAGTGGTACAAAGAAGGAACACAAGAAATGTTTAAAAGAAATCTATTATTTAAGTAATGTTTCCGATTACTATATTTTAGTATCTTTCATAAAAGCTCTAGCCACAGTACTTTTCACTGCTCTGAATGATATCAGACCCACCTTTAAATAAACAGTGGTATCACTTACAGACTAGAATTAATACACAGTTTACTTGCTTTGTTGGACCCTAGATGGTAAAATGCTTTCACTTGGATGAAAAAGGGGTAGCACAGTAACATAACTAATTATTAGTATGGGAAAAGATGTTGAAAGTAGAGACTAACTTTAGAGCTGAACGTTAAAACAGCAGTAATTGTTGCATATGAACAAGACACAATATGAATATCGGTTAGGATACAAAAATAACTGTGAAGAGGTTGTAATAGAATGATAATGCAATTGTTTGTCGAAGATGATATGGTGTTACATTGCGTCGTCGAGCAGTTAGCACTAACTATAGTGAAATAATAGACTTGCTGATTGCTCTTGATTTATTCCTATCCCCAAAACACAAACTGGATGATGATCAAGAAGACTGACATATTACTGGAAATCGCATTGTACCATTTCACTAAATGCAGTCTTTGCTTATATACAATAGATGGGACTGAAAATAACACGGATAGAAATCATACAACTAAAACCGTACAGTCAACGAAAAGTTAGCAAATGGTCATATGATAGCCTATGACTTCCTATCAATCTATTTACAGCTGTCTTACTATCTACTAAATCAATATTGTGGCTATCAACCATTTCCATAAATAATCTCTGCTCTTCAGAGGTTTGATGATGACACTGAGCGATGAAGACCAACTTTAAGTTAATTAGTTACGTAGAAACTATTACACTACTTTGTATTTTCCTACACTTGCCGATAGAACTGTACTTATCGAATCAATGCTGAAGAAAGGAATACGTTATTGATCCATAGAAAATTGGTGTGATCTCAGATAACTGTAGTTTAACAAACTGGTATTATTGATACAAGGTGATTATGGTAGATAGAATGAAGATTTAGACTACCACAGGATGCGAATCAGTGGCATCTAGATTGTCAACCTAGTGCTTTGTCGACTGAATGACGACACCTAGCTACTGACTGCATCTTTACTTTAATCACCTGAGATTTCATCCGTCCGTTACCTGAAGCCGTAGTACGCAATTGTCCGTCCATCACCATGACACGTGTTTGAATTCTATCACAATCCCGGCTGTTATTTCACGTCCAATCATCACTCAGCATTAATAATACAAGTCTGCAAGCCACAGATATCTCATACATATTCAAGGTAATTAGTCTCTTTTATAAGTTTAAACAGCGTAGTGAGAAGACGAAGATTGTCTTAAACATATGATCTAGTAGATTGTCCAAAATGTATGGCGCCAATACATCATGTGTCAGATAATCTTATTCTTTTTCTCATCAGGCTGTTTAAATCAAACATTTTGATCCATAATTAATTCACAGTACTCATTCTCTGGTTTGACTCAATTTGGATTAGAACGAGGTGTAGCTCGGTAAAAAGTGTAATAACGATGAACAGACGCATTCACATGAAAGCCTGGCAAAATCCCAAGTGATTGGAGTTAAGACCCAGTCAGCAGCTGGGTCTCACAACTCAGTCGATAGAGCAAGGAGCTGGCAGTCTGAAGTTCACTAGTTCAAATCATGTGACGATCTAGGTCTTAAATTCACCTCCAACCATCACTCCACACAAAATCTAAGAAAGCGATGTATTTTTAATTTCGTTTAGGTGCCGTACCTGTTAGCATGAAAAAGATACAAATGAGAGAAATTTTCATGTAAAAACTAATCACGAAGAAAAGCGACCCAGATAATCAATTCAGCTGCCTACGCCTGAGTATATCTTTTCATATCACTCACCTCATTTACGCTTTACGTGGTTGCTCTAAGATAAAATGAACAAGACGTATCTAACAATTCTATTGCATTACTGTGAAACAATAACAAATAGATCCCGAAAATGCACAAGAATGGTCGACATACAAATGTTTCATGTAGCAGATAGGCAAAATGTGGCCACATACATTTAACTTCATTGAAAATATATGGCGTTAGACTTTACAAAAAAATTATCAACTGAAAAATTTATTTTCTAACCATTAATATTACATCAACCATTTTTATACTGTTTGAGGAGATTTACACTACCGAATTATGCATAAAGTGTCTATTAATATAGAAGCTGGCGAATAAAACTCGACAAATAAATAAATAGCTCACTTACTCTATAGGGTTTCGTTTGATTTTTTCTGGTATCATAGGGCCATATTCAGCCTGGCATTGTAAAGCAGCTAAATTCACAGCTTGGTCCTGAGATATTGGATGTGTGCCATTCAGTATAGCTTCTTTTAGCTTTAAATTATGAAGATGAAAGCAGAGTAACAGCCACGTTTAACAATTTCCACAGTATTAAAAGCGAATCGTTTTTCTCGTGATGATGAGGAGAAGTAGTAAGGAAATTAACATGATAAACTGCATAGTTGTTACTTTTTTTTAAAATATGTAAAACGATTAGAAATTTAGATTACAGAGTTATACTTCATGTGCTAACTGGTAGCGAAATCTAAAACATGATGAAGTAGAAAGGGCAGTGAGACCGATTTCTTCGTAGCCCATAGCTAGAGACAAAGTTGCTGATAGATACAAGATGGACACCAAAGTATAGATAACTTTTCCGTAAGCTACTGGGAAGACTGGGTTTCACTGATGCAAAATGAAATTGAATACAATATCTACGTTGTTCAACATCAGTTGTCGTTCGTTTAGTATACACTCGGCTACAAAAGCTCACTCTAAAACAAGAATATTTGAATGAACTTTGAGCTTGACATTTTTCATTGCTTAGCAGTATTATACGTCTAATATAGACATATCTACTATACGCCGCATCAAACCGCACTGATAACTTTTTCAAGTTCTACTAGCTTACAGAACGGTTACGCTTTTTATGCTCCGAACTAGTAATAGTCATCAGTTTGAAACTGGCGTTGGGCTTTGTTGAATGAAATGAACAGTGTGTATGATCTCCTAATAAAGTTAGTGCCTATAGGTTGCATTGACCAGTTATTAACCTTCTGTTTGAGCTTACAACAACCTTTTCAATGAACTTTGTGTAAAATAACTTAGCAAAAATAAGCGAATCACTTCTTGTCCATGCAGGGAGTAATTGTTTCTTTTGGTCTTTGCTAAAAAAATTTGATCATGAGGATTATGAAGTTTCTGTGAGATAAAGCCAAGTAAAACCTGACTTTCAAAAAGTACAAACTCCTCAGCATGCTTCAACTTTGGTAGGTATTCATACCACTTTTAAATAAAATATAGTGATCCCTTTAGATAACTAGGTGACTGTTAGAACTAATGAACAGACAGCCAATAAAACTTTAGCACCGAACTATTAAGAACTGTCGGTATCCGAAAAAGCATAAACAGAGAGGGAATTATCAGTCGCACTTTCCGACTCCACTGTTGTAAAGCATATTTAGTGAAAGAGAACTAAATTAAAACATTTTTTTAATCAAGAAATCTTTGCGACATTATGTAAAACCAATGAATCAGACCGTGCCCAACTAGACACACTTCGATGAGAAAGGCAAACTACCACTTGAAGATTAACTAATATATCTATTATATACATTTAAAAAACAAAATAACGAAGTGAGGTGGAGAAACCGGTGATAAAAGTAATATAATAGGGAAAGACACTAGTTTGCTACTTTTAAACCGAACTATGTAACTTCAAGTTAACACGATTTATCTCTGAATAGACGCAATAACTAAATAAAGATGAGTGAAATCTTTACAAGCCTTAAGGTGCGGTGGAACTCGTTTTGTATTTCTTTCGCATTTAACCAAACTATACATATCGACGCCATTATTCATTGCAAAATGAGTTGACTTAAATTTCTACACCATTATTCTACGTTTCTACGAATGAACTGAAAAAGTTATATAAAACGTAGAGAAGATTAGTGTCGCATGAATAACATCTAGTCACATCATTTACCTCACTCTACCATAACAATACTTTCCACTTAACCACTGATAGGGAAGCATCAAGATAAGAGGTTAAACACACTGCTAAAAATATAGAAAATGTATTAATTTATCAACACTACTTGTAAATATTAATACAGGTATAATATATGCAAAGGTCAAATACTGAACCTACCTGCACATAAAGGAGGCTTAGTTGTACAGGATCCCGTGTGTCCACATTTTGATCAGAGAAAAAATACTTTCTCCGAAGGAGGAGAATTTCTGGTTCTTCGACTCCATGTTGACGAAGTGTCTTGCCAGGTGCCAACCAGTTAACTACAACAGGAAAAGTTCAAACCTGAGGCTAACACATTTTCTCAATTATTCGATTAGCCAACTTCACACCAAGTATATTTAGAAGCGAAATTTAACCTCATTCACTTCAATTTAACGTTTGAAAAAAACCCAATTGAGTCACGCGCAAAGACTGATTACCGTCATCTGATCACTAACTTGTGCTGCTCTTAGCCTATCTTACTTTCTTTTCTAGTGTTCGCTTTTATATTCCGATGCAAGTACAACACTATATGCTACACACCATCCACGGACTTAAATTACAAAATGAAGATCATTCAAACACTATCGTGAATATTCTAAACAGTTAGGAAAACTATTTTACGATATTAATTGGTGAGGTTGAATGAAACTGAACCTTTATGAAAACAAGCATGCGGTAAAACATGTTATCACACTTTTGTGGTCAGCTTCTTGTGTGGGAAGATTTGTCTCTGAGTCAAATTACCTAGAAGATAAAATCTTGGTAAAATGCAGTATTAAGTGGCGCAATGCACACAATATAGTTAAGATACAGACTAGGAAAACTTAAGTATCATACCAACGATATCACTATTAAACGTAGTACAAGTAATTAGACAAACACAGATTTCGTTTCTGCTTGACTTCATTTTTAAGCTGAACCTTTTTGTCGATGACAAAGACAAAAATCCAACGAAAACAGAATCGCTTCAACTTTTACACAGTTCTAATAATACTAATACATCATCTTCACAACCATAAATAAATAGTTACGGTGCACCGATAGAGGACAACTTAAAGCAATGTCCTTGGTTCCATAGACCCCCATAAACCAAATTCAGTCACCCTAATTCTAATGCACAAGACACGGGCAAATTATGCCTATGCAGGTACTAGTACTAACCACACACACGAACAGTCTAGCCCTCGACTTTTACAACAAGTTTCTGTATATGAAAAAATGAGTGCTGCGTATTAAAGGAATATAACCTAGAATGATCATTATCTATTAAACATTAGAAATGTTAGCATCAAAAATGCTTTCCATTCAAAAATAAGAATAAAGATAAAACAACAAGTATTGATTCAGTACCAATAAAGTCAAAATTCGAGTGACAACTCACACTCGTTATCTGTATGCAACTTCTGCTTCATCTTTTCTAGCTTGTCCAAGTTTCTGATACTTCCTCTACCTTTTCTCAGAGTTAGTGTACGCAGTTTCTCATCCTCATCAACTGGTCTGATAAGAGAGTATTCTTCATAGTTGGTAATACCTGAAAAAAACCCAGTAAAAATCACAAAATGAAAAACGCTATTTCTCCATGCCAATTCGGTCTTTTGCACATATCACAACACTAACAGCATTCAAATCTACCCTAGAACTAAGCAAACCTAATCAACATATCATATTTACCAAGCTGGCGTGTAACTCATTGACCTAAGCACTTGATTTCTAACACATGGAACGTGTTCGAACCCCACAACACCTACCGACGTTTGGGTATCCAGGTGGTATTATTAGCCCCCATACAAATGTGCAGTTTATTAGCTTTTGCACTCATGTATGTAAGGTAACTGAGTGGATTTCGGTTTGCCAAGTGGAACACAACAGCAGAAAGTGAAGGAAAATAACCACACGAAGCCTGGAAAAGTTCCTATACAGAAAGACAATAAAAGCACAACGTATCGAATCGAAAATGTTCCAGTGTTAAGCTAACATTCACAGTTACTAGATATCCCTTTTTGCTTCAGAAACAACAGCATCCACTAAACATACTCCACTCTTGCTTCCTGAGTGACTACTTCAAATAGCGTTTCACTCCAAATTAATCCTAGTCACCACTCCTACGAAGTTGAAACTTGTAATGGGTAACTGCATGATATACAGCCACAGGAACTGTTCTGCCGGTTCATTTCTGCTAAAGATTACAGTTCTTGGACATTTTTTTAGTTCGGTATATTAACCAAAATACTAAAAACCTTGTCTGCTCCAAACATAAAACGGCTTTGAATCAAATGTCCAGTTCAAAGTATATTATAGCGAGTAGACAAGTGGTTAATCTGGTCCCCGAGGTGCAAAAACAAGCAAATATTAAAGATGCTCTGCAGTTCTAATATGATATCACAACAAGAGTTGTCAAAAAAAAAACGAACTGCAGTAACAGAAACTCATTTTTGCAGACGATTCCAAAACCTATTTCTCATGAACGCCAGAAGCACCTAAGGATTGAAATAAAGCAAAATTTGCTCCTGATGACTGGAAACAAGTTATAGTTAGATTTCAGTAATTAAGGATAAGCGGAATAGTTATGCAAATAATCCTCCAAGCGTGGCACGTGAATTCATCAAAAGATCTACAAAACCTTCAGTTTAAATCATACATTTCGCCGTAAGTCAGGAGTTATTGTTTACGAAAACAAGTGAACGTCTTATGCCTTCACCACATAAGTGAAAAAGTTCAAACAGTAATGTCCATCTATATATACATATACTTACTGAGAGTAAACTACATAGAATTACTGAAACTAATTAAAACCGTCCAAAAGATGTAGATAAACAAACCGAAAGAGCATATTGGAAAAATTACCCATTTTCGCGCAAATTGTGAACATTAGTTCTGCAATAGTTTTGCTGTCATCTACTTGTAGTGTCTTCCTCGTTTCATCCATCGTCTGAATAACCAGGAGACGCAGCTTGGAGCGATACTGAACTTCAAACTGCAAAAAACATTCGAGGTATGAAGCGTGAATTTACATTATCACAAAAGTGGTAATACGAGAGCATTCGCGAATTATCTAGCCAAAATGAATGCTTAGGATCTGGATCCGGGACAAAGATTCCATGTTCCAATGCTACATAATCAGATAAATGAATAACTGAGAAAACATACGATTTAAACATGCAGCCTCTCTAATTTTAGATTGAACTTCATGGCACAAGTCATACACCGTTATGTCTTTCATGAATTTTAGTGAATAACAATTTCCTGAAGTTGGAAACCTGATGATCAGATTGATAGCTATCATTATAAGCAATGTGAATAAAATTAATGTAGTCCACAAAAAAGGCACAGCATTATGCCACTATTCGAACTGCCTCAAAAAACGACCTTAAGATTTGTTGTTTTTTAGTTCAGCAAATCAAAACTGAGATTGATGGATTCCTAGAAGACAAATTTTATGCTTATTTTGACTTTTGTTAGCACATAAGTTTCTTTTTAGAAGTGTGAATACCTAAAATTGATTATTAGGAATCACTTGGAGACGAAGAAAATCGCTGAGAATGAAACAAACTGTTTCTTATTCTTCACTTCTTATGAACCAAGAACATCACATAATCTGAACAGATCAGAAAAAATTACTCATGGCTGTCCACAGAAGAAATATGAGACCGATAAACCTAATGCGCTCTCAATTTAAAAGAAGGAGGTATTCATTTATTCCTTCTTTATTTGTGGTTACCATCTTGCATACAGCTAGGCTTGTCATAGTTACAGAGAGAAAACACTATTCTCTAGCACATACCCCAACGTCGTGCAAACAATTTCACCACACGGCACGCCGTCTATAAATTTATATTTGCGGGCCGACAAACATACACAGGAGCACTGGCCGCGAAATAAAACTGAGGGTAGGGTGGCATGTAACAACATGGTTACTAAAGTACCTGCATTCACAAACATAGATAAGTCCAGGTGTCAGGCAACCTTCACCACCCACTGCAAAACACATCCTTGATAAAGTTCACAGGATTGATGCTAAAGTAGCCTCCACACTTTTGTATTGAGTAAGCCAGTAGCCCATCCCTAAATTTCTTGAATTGCTAGTCATAAATTAATTTACCCCCCTCATTGTGGATTTCGCCGATGACTTGTGTCTGATGTCACACAAACTTGAAGATCTACAGGCAAAAACTAACAAGTTGACAGAAAAGGAGGGGCAGAGAAGACAGGACTTCAAGTGAATATAGAGAAGACAGAGGTGATTAAGGTACCCAACCAAAAACATCAACAATAAGCACCAATCACCATCAATGGCGGAAACCTAAACGAAGTAGCCTCTTTCACCTATCCAAGCAGCACTGTTTACACTACAGGCGGCACAGACGAGGATGCCAAAGTCAGAATCGGAAAAGCAAGACAGGCGTTCATTAGCCTGAAACCAGTATGGAGATCTGCACTTAGCATGTGGAACAACATCCGGATTTTCAACACCAACTCAGTCAAGTCAGTGCTTCTGTATGGTTCAGAGACTTGGCGCATTATGAGGGGGATTTACAAAAATTACAGACATTCATCAACAGCTGCCTACGCTGGCTGGTTGCAAAAGATCAGATGGCCAGAAATATTATTATTATTATTATTAGTCCCTTGAATTCCTAATGGAACATAAGGCTTCAGTAGCACGTCTCCAGTGAACTCTGTTCGCCGAAATCTTTTGAACCTGGCTCCACGACAGCCCAGAAACTCTCATTTCCTCCTCGCACCATCTCCTCCATGTCACCCTCGGACGTCCAACTCGTCGCTTCCCATGGGGATTCCACTCGAGGCACTCGCCTGACGCGTGATGTCCCCAGTCGGCCTTCTCAGTGCATGCCCAATCCATCTCCACTTCCTTCTACATATTTGTTGAGCGGTAGGTTCTTGGTTGGTTCGTTCCCAGAGCTCCTTGTTGCTTATTCTTTCTGGCTATCTGATCTTCAGTAGCGAGTGAGCGTAAGCAGTTGTTGATGAATGTCTGTAGTTTATTGGAAATGCCTTTCGTAACGCGCCAAGTCTCTGAACCATACAGAAGCACTGACTTGACTGAGTTGGTGTTGAAAATCCGGATGTTGTTCCACATGCTGAGTGCAGTAGATCTCCACACTGGTTTCAGGCTAATGAACGCGTCTTGCTTTTCCGATTCTGACTTTGACATCCTCGTCTGTCCCGCCTGTAGTTGAAACGGTGCTTCCCAGATAGGTGAAGGAGGTCACTTCCTTTAAGTTTCTCCCACTGATGGTGACTGGAGTTTGTTGTTGTTGTTGTTGGAGTTGTTGGTGAGGTATCTTCATCGCTTCTGTCTACTCCATATTCACCTGAAGTCCCGTCTTCGCTGCCCTGCCTCTCCTACCAACTTGTTAGCTTTCGCCTGTAGATCTTCAAGCTTGCGTAACATCAGGCACAATTCATCGTTGGCAAAATCCAAATCTTCTACGTTCTTTTCCACAGTCCAGCGTATCCCTCTCTTCTCACAGCTCTCCACTGTTTGCTGCATGATCGAGTCCAGTCGACCACAATCAGGAATATCATGGAGGATAGTAGGCAACCCTGTTTCACTCCTGTCTTCACTTCACTTCAAAAGCATCACTGAGCTCCCCATTGTGAATTACTTGGCATGTAGCGTCCTCATATAGTTGTTGAATAAGGCGGATAAAGGTTTGCGGTACTCCGTAGTAATGAAGCAGTTTCCAAATCACCTCTCGGTCGACGCTGTCAAAGGCCTTCTCAAGGTCGATAAAGTTGAGGTAGAGAGCTGATTGCCATTCTATACTCTGTTCTATGATGATGCAAAGCGTTGCGATTCGGTCCGCACATGATTTGTACTTCCTGAATCCAGCCAGCCAGCTTGTTTTGGTCGTAGTTTTGAGTCCAGTGCATCTTTAAGCCTCTCCAGGATGATGCGGTCTAATATTTTGATTGTTCTGGGTGGACAGGAGAGTGATTCTGCGCCAGTTCTTGCAAACACTGAGGTCTCCTTTCTTCGGGAGTTTGACAAGGTAACCCTTCTTTCAATCAACTGGCAGGTACCTTCCCTTCCTTCTATACCTTCCGCAGTAGTGATATCAGCGTGTCCGCTGTTATCTATGCGTCTGTTTTCAGTGCTTCTGGTGGGATCCCATCTGGTCCTGCTGCTTTCCCGCATTTCAGTAGCTTTATGGCATTCAGGACTTCAATTTTCGTTGGAGGATTTTGGTTCACTTGTAGTTCAGCGGCTGGGCTGTAGGTGGTATTTCTGGACGAAGTGCAGGTGGTGGTCGATTCAAGAGCTTCTTGAGTGGTCGGCTCATTGTTTCCTTTGTTTCCCTTCTTTCGTAATTAAATTTCCGTTATCATCTTTTATTGGTTTCGTCTGCGTTTATCTCTCCCATCACAGATAGCAACCTGGTTATCTGATACAATGTTGTCAGGTCTCTCCTACCAGCCGGCAGCCTGTTCTGCTTCACTTGCCAGTGTTTCGTAGAAGTGTCTTTTATCTTTCCGTGCACTCTTCTTCACTTCTTTGTCCAGTGTAGTGTTTTATACATTGTACTCAGTTCCTCTTGTCGTTGAGCATCCATGCACTGGTTTATATTCTGCTTCACCATCCTCATCTCCCTGCTCCATCAGCTTCCAGGTATCCGTCGAGATCCATTCCTTGTCTTCTTTCTTCTTCCCTCCTTCCTAATACGGCTGTGCAGGTTCCTTTCCACACAGCTTTCAAAGACTTCCAGTGTTCTTCCACACAGGTTTGTTTAGGGATGTTCCTCGATATCTCCCATTTTGTCTTGATGGCTGACTGACGTGAAGATTTCCTTTGTAGTTTCATCCTTCAGTTTCCGAGTGTTGTACATGAACTGTGGTCTATCGCCAGCTTCCTTGAAGGCTTTTAACTTGATTTGGAGGGTTCCTCACACTAGATAGTGAGTGGTGTGACCCTACATCTGCTCCTCTTCTTGACCTTGTGTCAAGTAGACTGCGTCTCCATTTTCTTGAGATGGAGATAAAGTCGATTTGATTTTTAGTGTGTCCATCTGGTGAAATCCATGTCGCTCACTTTGTGGATATCCTTGTGCTTGAATACACTGCATGGCTCCAATCACCAAATCGTTGAATGCACAGAATTCTGCAAACAATTCTCCATTCTCGTTCATCACCTCACCGAGCGCTTCTCGACTCATGGTTAGTTCTCTTCCTGTGTTTTCTGCTCCCAGTTTGGCATTCATGTCACTCCACCCATTAGAATTTTGATATCGCCAACTGACGTCTTGTCCAGTGTTGATTGAAGTTGTCTGTAGAATTCCTCCTTCTTCTCTTGCTCTGCATTATTTGTAGGTGTGTGGCGTAGCGTTGTATGATTGTGACCTTCCTTCCTTTTGAGTTGAACCTTGCTGTCATGATCCTGCAGGAGGAGATTGGTTCCCACTGCATGAGAGCCTTCGATGCTGTTGGGGACGTCATGATAGCCACTCCATAACTCAGTGTGCTCGTGGTTGTCATCTGGGTGACAATATCGGAGTAGATTATTGATTCTCCAGTTGACAGTTTGGAGAGTCCACTCCCATTCCACCTGCTTTCGCAAATTCCAAGCACTTCAATGTGATACCTTCTCATCTCGTTTGCAATCTGGGCTGCCTTGCCAGCTGGGTTCAAACATCGTGCGGACATTCCATGTCCCCACGTTTACTTTCGCTTTCATCTGGAGAGAGAAGACACATCGGCCAATTGGCTTCCCGAAGTCAGGCTTTCACCAACTGGTGTCATTTCGCCTCTCCGATTCCAGCGAGGAATAATTTTGTTTTTATTTTTTATATTTCGTTTGTGCTTTGAAGTTTCTTTGGTGGTTAGATTTGTTTTACGGGGAAGGGTTGCTAGCCCTATGCCCAACCTTCCCTCTTTACCCGAGCTTAGGACCGGCTAGTAACTAGGGAACCAGTTAACCAGGCGAGGTTCCAGAAATAATAGGCAACAAGTCACTCCGGCCGGACAATGAACCAACAAAGCAAGAAGCTATCGCTCAACAAATATGCAGAAGGAAGTGGAGTTGGATTGAGCATACACTGAGAAGGCCGACTGGGGACATCACGCGTCAGGCCAGTTGCTCGAGTAGAACCCCGATGGGAAGCGGCGAGTTGGGCGTCCGAAGTTGATCGTGTGACGAAGAAATGAGAGATTGTGGGCCGTTGTGGAGCCAGGTTCAGAAGGTTTCAGAGAACAGGGCACACTGCAGACGTGCTACTGAGGCCCAACTTTCCACTAGGAACCCAAGCGACAAATTATATAATATAA